AATAATAATTAAAACTAATATAATACTATAAAAGAGAAATAAAAAATTAATAATGCTATCTCTTAAATACTTTTAGTTAATATTAATTTTTAATTTAATAGACAACAAGGTAGATTTATATGAATTTAACCTTTAAATAAAAATAATCATTTTTTATTTTAATTATAAAATAAATATTATATATGTTTATTGTTAATTTTCTTTTAATTTTAATTCACTAAAAAACGAAAAATGCCCCATTTTTTAAAATTATTTAAATCGATGCCGTGACTCTTTGTGATTGGTTCGATAAATTACTCATTAAGCTTGTGGAGTAACAATTCAAATTTGAACTCGTCTAAATTCGACTTGTTAGCCTGTGAGCTGTCCCGTTTAGTAAAACAATAATATAAAATATGCTTGAAAACATTAAAATTAATGTTTCAACATGAATTATTAAAAAAATAATTAAAATTTATATTATTTTATAAGATTAAGTACTTTTTAATTATCTATCTTATTTTCTCATTTCTTATGTCATTATATTATAATAGTAATTTCAATCAAAATTATTCTCTTTTATAATAAACGGATCGGCTCCTAAGCTTCTCTTGAGCACGATTACTATTTGGAAGTGAGAAGTGAGTTGTGTCCTCTCGATTTAAATGAATACGGGCTTGATAACACATGCATCATTGGAATGAAAACAAATATAAATCGGAATAATAAACCATTTTATTTTATTATTTTCTGAAAATTGAATATTTGTGAGGATCAAATTGGAGATTTACATCCGAGGCACATAATTTTTATGTATTTAGAAATTTCTTGCACGTATACATAACATTCTGATGTTTTAAATATATGCATTATAAGTTGAATTTCAATTTTAAAAAGCAACAATAATGTTAGCTTTGATCTGATACTAAAGACTTGAGTGTTATTAAAAAGAGTTTTGGAGGGTCTTTACGTAAAACTAAAATTTGAAAGGGTATATATGTAAATCCCCTTGAAAGATATAACCTTGTGCCTATTTTCAGAGGTTTAGCCTACTGATCTTTTCTTTCAAGTGAAAGGTATGTCACTAAGCACTACGCACCACAGGCACAGTTTATATGATCTAACAACAACATGAAAGGGAATTGAATGGGTGAGTTGATTTCGTAACAAAATGAAAGAATAATGACAATGGACAAGACAACTTTATAAGGAAACATTTGCAAAAACAGATCCATTTCTCTATAGGCAAGGAAATAAATATAAGTTTATGTTTATGGAGGGGAATATGAGAGCACAGCTTCATTAAATTAAAATGAAAGGAAATTTCTATACATTTCACAAAAATTCTTATGTATTCAGATTTTTAACATTTAGACTTACATATTTATATTTATAATGTTATGATGTCATAAATTTGTGCACGAAAAGATGTATTGAAGTTTTAAATTAGTTTATGAACAATAATATAAATGCTTGCTACATTAGACTGATGAGGGAAAAAAAGTGGAATTAGACTAGCGTATTATTTTTCAAGTGGATGTCATTTTGCACAACGTGTAAGAAGACCTGTAATTGATAGTGTTTTTTTTTTTCTTTTGGGCAAAGTGAGTGCTTGAACCTGACATCTTAAAAGTCCTAATTTTATTTCCAACCAATGTGATATGTATTCAAGTGCACCTTTGATAATGTTTTGTCGATGTTGTTTTGCTCTGACAGGCTTAAGGTGGCCTTGTTATGAGCTCTGTTTTAATCTTGGTGAGCATGGAGGTGATCTTCAAGCTTTGCTTAATTCACTAATGATTGATCAATAATATGCAAACAAATGTTACACTCATTGGTCTGAGCTCACTTATCCCTATTTCTTGGATCTAAAATTTTCAATGAAGAATAACTCAAATCTTAAGAAATGAATCAATCCACGACGCAAGAGAAGAGAGAGAGGTATTAAAGAATATCATAGAGATTTAGTTTACAAAGAACATGATTGAAACCCTTTTACATGACAAGCGAGTCAAATTGGGTTAAAACATCACAATTTAGATGGGTTAAAACAACACAATTTAGAGAGAAAAAATATAATTTTTTTGGTTTCAAATGCCTTTGTTGTGCCATTTTTGTCTTCTCTCTAGATTGCCCCGTTTTTTAGATCTTTGTTGGGTCTGCACCGGTAGAGTCGGTCGCCCCGAATGCAAAAGTCTAGAAGGGATAGAAAACAACTAGGCGTCGCGACCCTAATGGTTGTGCCTCAGCTCTGCACACAATAAGACTTATTTGTAAATCTTTTATGGCATCACAACACTTGTATTAGTCTCTGCGATGCTCATTCAACACAATTCAATATGGTCGCTGACGCCGCGACACTTCAGAATGTGATGTGCCTTAGCCCTACTGGTAGTGTTGTGATGCATCACCTAAAAATATTTATGGATCAAGTAGGAGGAGTTAATTTTGGCTTTGGCATTGTAGTTCCATGCCTAGCACCGAGACACCCGATTATCTATAAATAGGGGACACAATTAAAGTTTTGGTATGCTAAATCTTTAATAGTGAAGGTCTGCGCCATATATCCCTTTCTTCATTTTTATCACTTTGTTATTCTAAAATGACATTACAATAGATACTCGCTCAACGAGGTTAGGGACCGGATGTGCCTCGAATCGTATTCCTGATAGCAACCAGAGTGATGTGATCTTTGATCCCGATGCTCGCTCCATTTCGAGAACCGCCGTGTCTCAAAAAAGCTATGCACGAATTCCTGGCTTCGTAGCACCACAACATTTCACATTGTTCTCTTGTACTAACACATTTGCATGTTGCGAAAAGATGTCACTCTGTCGGACCATATGGTAGACGTTTTGTAGGAGCGGATGGACTATATCATGGTCTGGCTCAAGCATATCGAACAACAAAAAGATATGTTGGCCGAGTGGCATCGGAATGCCTACAATAGGTAGGAGAAAGCACTCCAATGTTTTCCTCATGATCATAGCCCAACAATAGGGACGAGCAGGACTACAAACGATGACACCGCAGGAGGCGGATGGCTGCCAATTTTCAAAGGCTATATGATGCCACATTCTTCTTTTATTATTATTATTTGATGTTTTCCTCTCTATTTAGACATAAGGATTGCAATCTTTGTTTCCCGTAATTTGTTAGGATACATAAATTCTTTGGATTATTGATAATATAATGGTTATTTTGATTCATCGTATGTGAACTGTGTTTTGTATTCTCTCTGGCTCAACTATTTTATTTACTCTTTGCTTAGGAGACCCATATGCACTCTTGAGAGCCTCGTTATCAAGATGAACATTATTTTGTGATTCACATGGATCCCAAAGCAATGCGTGACTGGTCCAGCGTCGCGACCCTTGGTCGTTGTTTCGACTCTCGTGCCCCAAATTTGACAAACATTATTGTAGGAGCTGACATGGCATGCACCACATCAGTAGCATCATGGCGCCCTGAAAATTCAGGTCTCGATACCGACACCAGATTGAATGATCATAAGGATGTTCACTGATTTGTTGTCGGCCACATGACTGTGCCCAACTCCATCCCTGAAGCTGTGGCGCCCAGACTGACACATTGCTGGCCTTGAGTTGCACTTCCTATCTTCTCTGTCGACGTGGCATTTGACACATCAGCGGCGCTATGGCACCACATCAACTTATTTCCTTATAAATGTGGCAACCTTAAGCTGCCCCAAGAGCTGACTTTATGGTGAATTGTTGATAGTATAGGGCTCTCAATTTCGTTTGCTTGAACATCTTGGAGCTTTTTGAAGTCGTAGGTGAAAATTCTTTTCCTTGTACATTTTTCCTTTCTAGAAAAGCCCTAGGTTTTGTGTTAGAGAAATTAATTTAGGCTATTATTAGAGGATAACTAAGTTAAACCTCTTAGTTCCCTTATCTTAATCACAATTTTATTAGTGCACCTTTGAGAGTAGAGCCTTAGCTTATTTCGATGTCGTAATACCATTCTTTGGGCATTATGGAAATGTTCCATTTTTTTGGTGTGAAATGAGATTTCAATATTGTTCCTCAGTGCCTAGTCATTATTCACTTTATTTATATTCATGTGTCATTGCTTATGCAGTGCATTAGGCTACCTGGTTTGGTTTCGGCTGACATTCGGATTATGCAATGCATTAGGCAACCAGGTTTGGTTTCAACTGGCATTCAAATGTTGCTTTTCGACACAATAATAGTAGGTTTGGTTTCGACAACAACAAGCACCCTAGCTTTGAGCTTCGCAGCCCTGCGTAGACTTTCATTCCACTAAGGCTAATGTCGTTACACTAGTTTCAGTGACGCGATGCTAGGCTCTACTTTATGGTCCGGTGACATATCTCCTGTTGACAGAAATACACTTTCGTAGTCTCTTTCCCATGGTAGTACTAATCTTTTGCATTACGACATAAGAATTTAACAATACTACTGCCTTATTCTATTTTGCGAGTTACAAAATCGATGCATATCTTTGGATAGTGTGGGCAAAATGGGACACTAATCATTCAGCTGGGACCAGTCTTACTCGTTTGAGATTGTTGTCTCTCGACTTTTTGTTTGAATGATTAATGTGAGAGTATTTCTTGTTACACCATATAGCTCTAGCTTTCACAACTCTGCATGTTAGTTTGACATGTAGTGATAATAAGGGAACGATCAGTACTTGTTGGCTTGTCCGAACGATTAATGTGAGTTACCTTATCATTACTAGATCTCATATGATTGTTTCAAGTATAGGTTTGGGTTAAGGTTTGTCACTTGTCGTGGCAACGGTTAGCTCATTCAGATACTCATGATGAGGCCAGCTTGGTGACCTCATCAAGATCCTAGTGAAGGCTCTCAATCCCTACATTCGCACATTTTTCTCGTAGATATATGCATATGCAACACATTTGAGTTCGCTTTAAAACTCAGGTGTAGTTAGGGAGTTTTGTACGCAGTTATTGTTTATTGGTGTATGGAAGCTATTGTACATTTTGTGTCTTTTGTATGTTTTACTGAGTTTGAGACACGTGCACTAGTACATTAGGATGGATTTTTACTTGCAAGATGTCGTATCCAATAGAGAGGAGCTTAATAATAATTCAAACTAATGTCTTTTCTGCAGGCGATATTTAGCTTTACTCCTATCAGATACAACTTTTTATACAATGCAAGAGATAGCATGCACTGACTTTTTTTTTTTGCAGGTGAAATCTTTCTTTAGATTTTCTCAATATACATTTCAGATCTGTACTAGAAATAAGAAATGAGCACGAGTCCAATAGCTTGGAGCAAGGATAATGTGGAGAGGACTAGGAAATGTTTCTCGTTCTAGGTTTGGTTATATGTATGTGGAGCCTGGTTGCCTTTTTTTTTGGATTGTAATAGGCCCAACGACATCCGACCACTTATTCTTTTATATTAAATATTTCTTTTTATGACTTTTTGCATGTGCTCACTCTTTTTTATGCCTATAATTATTTTAGATAAGACCATGATTAGGCTCTTTAAGATAAAAATTTATTATAAAAGCTAATAAAAAAAGATTTATCTTAATAAAATTTAGGATTTAAAAATTCAATAGTTTAAAATATGTTATTGTATATCTTTATCTTTATTTTCCAACATGGACGTCAGTCCAATTTTAAAATGATCATAAAATACATGAATATATCCTCCTTGCAAACTAATATGATCTCCACGATTAGAATACTTAGAACACAACATACATGGTACAAAACCTGACTGATCCGAAATACATTTTATATGATTAGATGATTTTCTAGTATGGTATAAGGTGTTAGATGTTCCCTCAATCTAAACAATATCGGATAGCCCAACTTTATAGCTGAGTTATCTTTTTCTCCTCCTTTCTTCATAAGTTTCTTGTCCATACCCTTGGCGAGTATAATACCTATTCCACACTTTTGATCTAGTTATAGTCTTAGGAACTTACATTTTTTTTTCCTTTGACTTCACTTTCACTATATTGCTTCGAAAGATACACATGAGTTGCTAGTGAAGTGACCCCTAACTGGGTTGGGTCGACTACCTTCATTGCTTAGATCTGTGGTCTAAATAGTATGGGAGAACAGGTTCACAGAGCTTCGACCAGATTATCTCTACCTGTTTAGATTCTTGTTGGACTTACTTGTTGATTTACCTATTTAGGCACAATCATTTCCTTTGTCGAGTCTTTTTGAAGGAGAGTACTATAAGGCCCTTTTAGCTCAGTGGAGTCAACCCATCAGGTTTCGGTGATACACCCTCTGTTTAGTTGTCTATTTCTGCCCTGATGACTAAAGAATTTCACCCTATTGGGACCGCTGAAATATCCTTGGATGCTTATATTTCAGGACTATTTTGAACAAACAAAACACCTTCTATCATAAATTTTCTTGGGTATTCTACAGAATGTAATTGAACACGAAAATACATTATCGTGGGAGGGATCTTTGAACTCAAAATAGAATAACATTGATTTTGTACTCTGGTTTGATTATAAATGTATTTTTATATGAATTTTCTCATATATTTTCTCGGGTCAAGTATAATTTAATTTATTTTGAACTTCTCTTCTCAGTTTTACGTTGTGATGGTTATTCTATATGAATATCTTTGTAGCTATTATTTATTTTACTTTATTTTTTATTATTTCATCTTATTTTTTGTTCATTTTTTATCGGTTCTTTCTTCCTTTATTTTTTTAAGCAAGGGTGAACTAAAAATGCGGATTTGAATAAGACGCTAAGAAGTTCGTTTCAGCTAGAACAAACAAGAAGAAGAAGAAGGAAAAAGGGGGGCGCAACCAGCCTTATCATAAACTCTTATCTTTGATTATAGGTGGAGTCCAGCATGCTACAAATTTGACAACTTGAAAGAATTATAATGCATGATGTCATAGGTTGATCTTATTGTAGATGGCCGATGTAACGAGCGAGTCAATTTGGAGAGTTGGAGGCAGCTCAAAGCCAGTTGATGGGTTCTATAATATGGATGCTTTGGTAGCTTGGCGACTACTATAGGCTGGTAGGTCCTAGTTTTTGATGTGTACTGTCATCTCTCAAAAGAGCCCTTAAGAGAGGTGGGCAACCCAGGACTTAAATACTGTTTTTTGACCCTACACGTAGCCGATGTGAGACTATTTGTCCGTGACATTCTTCTCCACCCAATCACATGACGCCCTCGTCACGGATCGGCTCTACCGAGGGTCCCACT